TAGGTCTCACCCTCGACTCAAAATGGAGTTTCAAGCCGCACTTCGCGGAACTAGCCCCAAAGCTGGACGCCACAGCGGCGGCTTTAAGCCGCCTTCTTCCAAATGTCGGTGGCCCGAGTTCGAAGCGCCGCCTCTTATTCGCGGGAGTCTTGAGGTCGAAAGCCCTATACGGCTGTCCGGTTTGGGCTGACGACCTCTGCGCCCAGAATAGAGCAATACTCCGACGATCACAGCGTGCCGTGGCGATCAGGGTCGCGAGGGCATACCGCACGGTGTCGCATGATGCCGGGTGTGTCATCGCGGGCCTATTGCCATGGCACCTAGACGCAGCTGCCCTAGCGGCTGTCTACTGGCGCAGAGCTGGTAGGCGAGAAGAGGGCGAAGAGCCAACTATTGAGGAGACAAAAGCCTGGAGAGTCCGCGCCCAAAATAGGGCAATGGACAAGTGGAAGGATGAGTTGGGGTCGTCCAGATCCGCGTCGTGGACGGTGGATGCGATCCGCCCGAGACTGCAGGACTGGACGAACAGGCGGTGGGGGCACCTCTCCTACCGGCTGGTGCAGATGCTGTCGGGCCATGGTTGCTTTGGCAAGTATCTGCACCAAATTGCCGGGAGGGAACCTACACCTAGGTGCCACCACTGTCCTGAGGTCAGCGACACCGTCGCACACACTCTATTTGACTGTCCGGCATGGGAAGCCGAGAGGCGACCCATCGCCAATATTACCGGATTAGACGCGTCAACACTCGCGGAGGTCATCTCCAAGATCCTTCAGTCCGAGGACGCGTGGAAGGCATTCCACGAGTTCTCGGAGCGAGTGTTGACAACCAAGGAGAATGCCGAGAGGGAGCGTGAGGCCGATCCGGAATCCGCCCCTCTCCGGCGAAGAAGAAGAGCAGGTCGGCGCCGGCGTGAATTCATCCGTCAGGCGTAGACCCTTGTATATAGAAATTTGCACTTGTATATATTTAAGTTATTTATTATATTAATTTTATTTTACTTTAATTTAATTTATTACCCTATTTAATCTGTTCTGTTTTGCCTTACCTTGTTTCTGTTTCTGTTTTGTTTTATATTTGTTTTGTTTTTGTTCTGTTTG